CCAAGGATACTGGAGTGGGTGGCCTGCCCCTTCTCCAGGGGATCTTCCCAACTCAAGAGTCAAACCCGGGTCTCCTGCATTGCAGGCGGATCCTCTACCAGCTGCGCCACCAGGGTGAAGGAAGTCCTGTTTATTTAGCGATAGACAGGCCAGGTGGGGAAGCAAACGACCTCACATCCCTGCCGTTCTGTTGGAAGCCCTGCAAGTAGAGTAAGCACTGTTTATAAACGAGAGGAATAAAGGTTTAGTGAAGTTACCCTGCTTGCCTAGATCACACACAGTAAACGACCAGCCACCATTCTGATGTAGATCTAGTCTAGGTCATCCAATTTCAAATTCCATAGCTTTTCCTGGATACCACTCACCTTTGCCTTAGCCTTCTGTAAAGAAGATCTTTAGTGTGTGGCTTCGGTCCTTTTTTCTTTAAGCATGTGCATCCTTGTGTGCACATATAAACATTTAGAGAAGAGTTAGCACCTGTCCTTCTGAAGCCGTTCCAAACAATTGCAGAAGGGGGAATGCTCCCAAGCTCACTCTATGAGACCACCCTCACTTTGATACCAAAACCAGAGGAAGATACAGTCCAAAACAGAAACTACAGGCCAATATCACTGATGAACACAGAAGCAAAATCATGCAACAAAATACTGGCAAACCAAATCAAATAGTGCATTAAAAGGACTGTGCCCATGATCAAAAGGGATTTATCCCAGGGATACAATGATTTTTCAGTATCTGCAAATCAATCCATGTAATATATACCACATTCATAAATTGAAGAATAAAAAGCATATGATCATCTCAGTAAAGCTCATACACATTGGTTTCAATCGCAGATACATAGCAAAGCTTAATCTTTTTTGTTTCTTTCATTCTTATCTTGTGTCATTGTCCTGCTCTGGTTGAATTAACAGTTGAGAAGGAACAGTGTGGTGGGTGAGTTTTTCAGGTTCAGGAAAAGTTTAAAGATCAAAACTAAATTTTCATCCTATCAAATCTCTACTATTCTTGTTAAAAGCTTGCATTTTTCTCTTTTACATACGCTAAATTGGCCTTAGTTATTCAACAAGTCTGGCACATAATTACAGATGAAAAATGCTCTGGAAATACAAGTTTTCATGAGTAAATTCAGTTCAGTTCAGTCACTCAGTCGTGTCTGACTCTTGGTGACCCCATGAACCGCAGCACGCCAGGCCTCCCTTTCCATCACCAATTCCTGGAGTTTACCCAAACTCATGTCCATCAAGTCAGTGATGCCATCCAGCCATCTCATCCTCTTGTCATCCCCTTCTCCTCCTGCCCCCAATCCCTCCCAGCATCAGGGTCTTTTCCAATGAGTCAACTCTTCGCATGAGGTGGCCAAAGGATTGGAGTTTCAGTTTCAGCATCAGTCCTTCCA